TCAGAGTATATCTTAATGATTCTAAAAAAAACCTACTACAAACTAGAACTGAGATGATTTGTTATAGACCCGATATATTTCTACTGAATCTTCATTATACCTATTATCATCATAGGTATCAACAAGGGCGTCGCCAGAGAGGGGCAGGGTGGGGCAGCTGCCCCCCCCTACGATTAATGCTCACCAGTCACCCTGCTATCATTGGAACGACTATTTCATTCATCACATAATCTGACCAATCAAAAGCCAGAGAAAACGTGTGTTTATCGCGAAAACTAGATGTTTTCAATGATGTAACCATGATGGGTAGCGAAGCGAAGTCTGTCAATTTGGCAAAAAATAATGACTGTACTTGTCAGAATGAATCATTCATTCAAAATAAATGCTTCTTTGCTTCGTGAACGTGAAATAGTCTCCACTCTGTTCTGAATATATTCTCATAATTCTTCGTTTCCTTGTCAAATCTATTGTGTTGCCGTACAGCCCTACCTTTCGTCCTGACTCGTGGTGTTGCTCAGCTACACAATTTCGTGAACAATGAGGCGACAGAATCATCTCGAATATTAAGAATATCGTGATATTACTTATGATAACGATCACTTTGAGCAAAGAACTTCCGAAAGTATATTTTTCTCTTGAAGTTGAGAAGGCTCTGAAGATCCTTGTTGCCTTTACCTTGTAAGCTTTGTACAGTTGAAAGGTCATTTAGTAGCCTTAGGAGAATCAAAACCTGGTTGAGGAGCACCATGTATGATGCTCGACTCAATGGCCTCGCAATGATGAGTATACACAGGCAACATATTTTCAAAAACTTCAACGATTTCGTCAAAAAGTGACCAACGAATTCCCAAAGAACCCTAGAAGATTATTTTTCAACTGATTTACTGTATAGATTTTTTTCTGTTTTTTTATTTTCTCATTAAACTCTTTCTACTTGATTTTTCTCTTCAGTTTTTTTATGGTGCCCCCCCTATTTTTTCCGCTGGCGACGCCCTTGGGTATCAAAAGTTTTCAGTCATCTATCACCTTCAAAATAATATAGATATTAGGTATAATTTTCTGGTGGACTATTATTATATTCTTTTCAGTGAAATTCAAGGTGCTCCTCTAAAACTAGCCAGAAGTTGAGAGAGCGATCCCTTACGAACGTATCTTCCATCTGCTGAACCATTAAAACATTCCAAACCGCAGGTCCTCCATTAAAAATTCTTCTCTTTTGTTTAATGCCCTGTTGCGAGTTATCTATTAACATTTTAATATTCCCGAGTCTGTAATTTGTGATCTTATCGTACTGCAACGTTTATTGCGTACTCCATTTTCAGACATAAACTCAATAAATAATTGTACTATTATATCTAATAATCGATTTCACACTTTACTGGAATACCCTCGGGATGTCTAGTTCCATTTCATGATTTTAGATAAATATGATGTTCATTTTAAATAACATAACCTGAAGGAACGTATTTACATTTCGTTCAGCTATGAGATAGGTATACTGTCATGGTTATGAGGAACATTCCTATTTCTTGTGATGGCGCAACTAAAACGCCGTTTGAATTGCTCGGTGCTGAATGATGGTTCAATCACAACTCCCCTTGATCGTTGCTGAAAGTACTCACTCGAGAATAAAGTTCATGAAAATATATATATCGACATAAGTACCTAACCACTTTACCCTTTCAACTATATATTATTGAGACTTATCATTTCCAAACTGAGAATATGCGCTCAAATTGGTATATACTCAGATTCAAATTGAGAAAAATTACTTCCCAATCGAGATCTAACTCTTTCAAATTGAAAATGAGCATATTCAAATATGAAATGAGGACATTCAAGAACGCATTCAAAACACGAAAGTTTCAAGCGCAGTGCGACATTGACATATTTTGGGGCAAATCATCTGATTTGCCGTTATTACAGGTCAATTGGAATAATACTAATATTCTAATAGGGACGAGGAAAAACTCCAAAAATCTAGTGATATGTAGGTAATTAAAATTTGAAGAAAGCATCCATATTTATCAAAATGGTCCAATTGATTTTCAAAAAAAAAAAACAAAAGGCACAAAGTCTGGCGACCACAAACATTATTAGATGTGTAATAGTTTGGGCCACAGTCAGACACAAAATTGATGTATTAAAGAAGTACCTCAGCAATATATATTGAGAACACAATTACTAGCCCAGGTCGAAAATCTAAAGTGATATCGGTCCTGCAATTCAATATGGATTCAAATCTGGAAAAGGTCCGGTGAAGCCAGAATGGCATTTCATCATTAAAGGAGTACATTATTAGCAAAATATTTGAAAAATTCAAAGAATTCTCTCACGTGAGATTCATCAGGATATATTGCAAAATGGAAATTATACCTGCTTCTTGACACGATACACAGATAAAAAGAATTTCTTCAATCAACCGAATTCGTTATCTTGAAATGAAATTGCTTTGTACAAGAATTTTTCATCTGAATGGAGCAATATACACTTGTTTCAAATAAATTGGCTTGTTTGCTTTGGTTCTCGAATTCTCTCGAAATGAATTTGCTCAACATAAACAGTTTATTTCTTCATTCAAGAAAACCGCGACTACAAGTGAAAAAAATTCAAATTTATATTGGTTCAAGAAATTCTCTGCTTGTCTAAAATGCTTGCAGTGACGTATATACAGCGGTGGAAGACAACTAAACGCTTGCGCCCATTCGACTAGTCAGTCGTCAGCCGCCATTTGCCATTGCCGCTGTTGTTTCTTCTGAAGACGGTGCATAACACATTTGTTTTTCAATGGTGAAGTGTTAAGAATCAAGTGTGCTGAGTCATGGATATAATAATGGTATGGTATCATCTTCACAGCAATGCGACATTCCACATTTGAGGACAATCTTCGAAGGTAAGTTAAATATACGTTTTGGTATGGGTATTAATTCCGAACGGGGACCAACTCTGAACATTGTATATTTTTGGACCATAGTTGTACTGAGGTGTTTTTCCGTCTCATTTTATCGGAAACTTACTTCGCTAAGAACCTTGATATCAATCATACCTCAAACCATAACTACACATCACTTTCAACGCATTTTCCATAACCTGCACAACACATTCGTTCAGCAGTGACGATTTGACCAGTCGCATTCATTCGATAAACGCCCTAATAGGTATAGGTAGGTTATTGTCCATTCTTTATATATTTTCAACTGGTTGTTTGATCAAAATGATGAAACCAATAATAATATCAAATCATAGGAACCATCCATATTTCTCAAAGTGGTTCTATTGATTTTAAGAAGAAAAAGCAATGAAAGTCCCAGTGTCTGTCGACCACGTAAAATTATTTAATAAGTATCGTAACTAGTTTCGGCCACAGGCCATCATCAGACACGAAAATGATGTATTTAGAAGTACCTATAAAAGATAATTATGGACATTTCAAAGAAGTCAATGCTTTGCAGTTATTTTAATGCGAACATACGATTATTGGAGAAAATGCCTATTTTCGAAAAACACTTTGTAACTTCGAAACGAAGACAGATATCGATATGCGGGTTTCACCATTGAGTTTTGCATGAGAATAATTATTAACCCTCAGGCACCGACATCAGTTTTCTTTCATCTAATTGGAGAATAGGACTTTCCGTTTAAAAGTGACCAATTCAGCCCACCCTGTACATAAGTACACGGAAAAAAAGGATTTGTTGCATCAACAAACTATTTATGCTTAAATTATTTTTGTTGGACTAAGCAATTTTTTGTTGAATCAACCAGATACATGATTATTTCATGGAAGCAGCTTGTTCAAATCAAGAATGTAGTCTATAATAATTGAATCAACAGTATAATATCAAATCCATCAACAAAATATATGGTTTTATCAAAAACAAATTATGTTGATCCAAAATAATGTCGATGTTGATTCAATTATTAACATTTTTTTTCTTCATCGCTTGGAGCGCACGAAAGGGAATCCCTATAATGTTCAAGGAACATCGTGCGTTCCTAGGGAGGATAGGGACAGGAGGTAGGTATTGGAATTTTTTTTGAACTTTTGGAGATTATATGTTGTTGGGAATACTTCCACAGGCAATGAATTCCAGATCAAATAATGATCATTTTGATGGGAATATATCTTTGGAACAACATACAAGTTTTCTTATTCCGATGTAGCAATGGACTTGTTTCCAACGGATCATTTGCTTGAATAGAGCAACGAAATATGTAATATCAATGAAATATTTTGTTCATTCTGAATCAACTTGAATTTTCGCCTCTAGATGGCGATCATTTCGCCTCGTCTATGCCTGCCTCGAATTCATTATATACGTGAAGCCTGATTCTTCGTGGTTGAAATATCAACTAGACAAATCGAACTTTGGATGATTAGCAATCCTAAATTGTTTTCAGCTGAAGAGAAGTAAAGACTGATGATCTATGCTAGGAGTCGACTTGTTTCCTAGTTTTGTTTATTCTATTGATGTGAAATTTCAGAAAATTCCCGAATATTGAATTTGGTTCAACAAGACAATATGTCGAATGGATATATAGTTTCTCTTGAATCAACAAAATATTTCATTGAATCAAACAAATATTTCATTGAATCAAATAAATATTTCATTGAATCAACCAAATATTTCTTTGAATCAACCAAATATTTCGTTGAATCAACAAAATGATTGTTTAAGCCAATTCAATATCTCTTCAAAACCATTCATGGATGTGCTTGATTGAAGAAGATCCAGAGTTCATGCAAGATATATTTACTTGATTCTAACTTCAAATTCGCTCTGAAACAAGATATAGATTTACTCATTTCAAGATTATATTTTGTCGTGCATATATGATACTTTTATTCGCTCCATTCAATTAAATCTTGCTTGATTCAACAATTCCTTTTTTCCGTGTACATCCTAAACCTACCTTTACCGTGAGTCTCACTTCCGCTGTCTTCCGACGGCGGGCCTGGTGGGGCCCGCAAGCCTTGCCCGAGGCCATGGTGGGGATACCTCGGCCTGTTCAGCGACGAAAAGTGGCCGTGCATGCCCAACAGCTGGGCGGCTCCCGGGAACTGCAGCAGGGGCGCCCAGGGCGGCCTGGGCGACAGTTGGGCCGCCGCGGCCGCCGCGTAGAACTGGTGCAACGGCGGGGGCAGCACGCCCGATTCTAACACCATCTTGGTACCCTGCAAAAAACAAATGGTGAGTGAAAGGTAGCTGCACTATTTGCTGAAGAATAGAAGAAACTTGATCACTTATTCAGTGTGTTACAATTTGATCTACCCCACCCCTGTATACGTCCGTATTCCTACACAGTAAGGAATGCATACAATTATGGCGAATTTATGCAACATTTGCATAGTCCTATAGTGTTAGTTCTAAGCATAGTCCGACTCTTAATATTAATTTTTATCTTAAACATTTGAGGTATTCATCCAGGAACATTAGAACTTGATTTGAGCATAAGAGTCATGTGAGAATTTGTGGTACTTTTTGTATCAGAGATGAGGAAAATTATCTATCAAACTTATCAACATCTGAGCTTTCTCATGATATGGAACATGTGAACAACAAATCATCAACAATTATATCATAAATAAATGTGAGAAGCTCACAGTCATTTCCACCCAGTGTTCATAAAATGAACAACAATGGTAGATTTCGGGAGAAAAACAACTACTTCCCTGGCTAATGCCACGCAGGATATTGAATTACATCCTCCCGAAATCTATGCATCGACTCGTTTAAACGAATACTGATACAAGTTATTCTTTCCTCGGTTCTACTCAGATGGCGTTACTTTCATTTTATCGATGAAAGACGCCTCGGGGTGGATATAATGCCAACTTGATTTTTGTTTGGCTAGGCTTCGCTGAGTCGGCGGTCTTAGGACTGCTGGCTGGAGACTACACTGCACTGATGAGAGTCAAAGAGCTCGAAACCGGTCTGTGGTTGTCTAGCGGCCTGGCTTAATCGAAATCAATAGGCATTCGGGAAAGAATCACTTGTATCAGTATTCGTTTGAACGAGTCGATGCATAGATGTATTTCGTAGTTAATTCTATCATAGGAGCATGCGCTGAATCCACTTGACATGAGCATAAGCACAAAATTTCAAATTAATCAACTTTCAAGGTCGTTTCATAGGCTTGAGAGAGAGAGAGAGAGAGAGAATATACTTCATTATCATAAGAAATTAAATTCTTGTTGACAAAGTTTGCTAAAGTTAAAAAAAATATATCAAGGTACCTAAGTGGCCAGGTAGCCGTGCGGACAGAGTGTCTATATTCTAATTCGCATTCGCTTGCCGGTCGTGGGTTCGATCCCCGTCGACTGCAGAAATTTTTCTGATGGCCCAAGAAAGTGTTTGGGATCACACGTTAAAAGGTAAGGCCCCCGTCATTCCTTGCTCGCACAAGACTTTTGAAGACTTTTGAGGGTTGCTCGTAAGGGGGCAACCGAATGACGGATAGAACAAATTTTAGAACAAATTTTTTAAGTCTAATGCATACTTGTGCTTATGCTTATGCTTAAGGCTTAAGACTAAAATTGGTGTGTAAACGGCCTCATGCAAGTACCTTGTTTCAACTTCTAGTTATGCTCAAAATTATGACTATGACCTACTATTTTGCATAAATCCATCATTAGTTTCCTCAATAACTCAAATTTTGTTGAATTTGAGTCAAAAGTGTGTACATGATTTCTCTGACATTTTTCATACTTCTGAGACACTTTGTGTCAGTATAATTCAAATGGTAGCTATAAAATAGTTACACAATCCGGTGTGGACGTGGGTTGACACGAAGTTGTGTAGACTTGGAGTTGAAATCAACTCAGAAATTTTCACCGTGTAGGGCGATTCAAGATTCTTTTCTCATAATATATTACTCAAAATTGTCTAATACATTGTCGAGCAAAGTGAATTATCAATAACGGTTTCTCATACTACTGCGATCACAAGAACTCCACCAAAATTAAAGAAAACGAGTAAGTCTTATTTTTTTCAAAAATTCTGATGCACGGTTAAAATTGAGCGAAGCGAATTAGTTTCATCAGGAACTCAAATTTCGTTGCATTTCAGTGAAAATGGTGTACATGATTTCTCGAACGTTTTTCATACTTCTGAGACATTTTGTGTCTTTATGATTCAAAGATTAACTATATATATAACAATGGTCACACAATCCGATGTAGTTCTGGATTGACACAGAGTTGTGTGGACCTGGAGTTGAAATTAACTGAAAAATATTCACAGTCTAATGACTGTCGATTTGGACCAGCCTATTTGTGGCTTCGATATCAATTTTCAAAACAATATCTCAAAAGGGGTGTTCTTTATCAATTTTGCAATTTTTCAACGAACAATTCCTACCTTATTACCCTTGGTTCTCACGATTTCCTCTGAACATTACAGGATATCCCTTTTCGTGGGAACCAGAACAGATCAGGATTAGATCATCTGGCTACAGAATGAGGAATTCAGGCCATGAAATGGTGGAAGAGTTGCGACGGAGAATGATATCAGTTTGCAGAGATACCACTATCATAAGAAACTAGGAGAGTTCAAAATAACGTGCGAAAGAGATATGAAAAGTGTACAGACAATGAAGGATTTGATCGAGAATACAAAAATCTGAACTGGTTAGGAATGGTTGCTGTTTCATTTTTTGTTTTTCTAACATTCTGATGTTAGTTAGTGCGGGGTCCGTTCGATCAAACTCCACTCAATAATGTCCCAAATTCGGTCCACGCCCGATTGAGTTGAAGATTCACTCTACTTGGCTGAGTGAGATGGTATTTCAATGAGTGAATATATTGAGTGAGTTTCAACTCATTTCTGAGTGTCAAGAACATTCATTGAGTGTGCATATGTCCTTTGTTGAGTGATTTTATATCCAAAATGAGTACTCTTGAACTTTCTTCGACATGGTTTTATATAATATTAAGTAAATGTGATATATAGTACAAAAGTTTATTTACAATCAAGTAGATTACAATACAATTAGTAATCACAATCACAAGCTAACACAATTTGAAATTATCAGTACATTCTTGCCTTCCGAAATCAAGTTTGCCTTAATTCTTCTCGCTGCAAACTCCTACTAGCAAGTTCGTTGACAATCACGTCAATCTGCAGACAAACAATCCCTATCAACAGCTGATTCAAAATTGTAATCATCAGAGCAGTTTTTGGTCATGTTACCTACATATAGAGACAATTGTCGAATAACATTTTCAACAAATATTTTATAGATCCCATCATGATCCCTGTATTATTATATCAGTTTTGATAACACTATCTCAATGAAGATTCAATATACCAAATTGGAAATTGATGTAAGCAATAATGATTCCATTTTTTCATTTCTGATTGGGAATACTCCGATTTGATTGATTTTCAGTCACTATATTGAGTGAAAAGCTAACACACGAACATAGCCGTGCATGGGCTGTGAAAGGAATCAAACTGAAGAATAAGTACCTATATATTGATTCACCTCAAGCGTCAAGGTAATCGGATACGAATCAATACAATATACAATTCACTGAATAAGAATTACACAATCCAAATGAATATTTGAAACACTTCACGATCATCAGCCATGTTGTTGAAAGCCATCATGTATTCAAACTTACCCGCAGTAACTGAACTTCACAAACATAATCATGCTTAATAACAACATCCTTTGTGCTCGAACTTGCAGTAAGTATACTTCTAAAGTATTATATATCTCACTTCGCTGAAATGAAAAGCACAGGATGACAGGATTTTTGTTATGCACTACACTTCCATCAAGACGGACGCTGCGTTATCAATTGGACAAAACGGCCTCTACTTATAGTCTCGACTGGCTCGAGTTTTCCATCCGCATCAGATGACCAGAGAGTTTCAGACTTTCCTTTACTAAGGAGTTCCCGAGGGAGTTCCTCATTCAGAATTGAAACATAATATTGTGGTATTGAACGACCAACATGTTGTTCCCAAATACACTGTTGAAGAGGTACTGAGACAGTGAGATGGTAGGGGAAATATGCCTAAGATGACCGGATGACCCTAGACTACAGAATAGTCATTCAGTAATCTTTGCCTCTGCCTATGATGGCCCACCACCTGTATTTTCAAATATAGCGCCCTCATACCGTTCTATACCGCCACACTCAACTCATGCATCGAGACTTTTTAGTCAGTAACTTCCAATTTTCAGAAGCTTCCACTTCATATTAGTGATTTAACGAAATGAAATCCGAATTGGTAAGCGTTGATTTAAGAAAACTGTTCTCATTTTTTGCATTTCCCTCTCATAGTGAAATGACTATGACAGCTGTAGTCGATGTGTGAGGCCTTCAAATTGATTGTAGTGTAAATAAAACAAATGATATTTGATTTGAAGAATCAATACGTTCATTTGCCAATGATGGACCCCCAATTGCGTTCCAGTGCATGCCACAGCGAATGCGCTGGCGTCAACAATCACTTTCCCATTCATTCTTTTCATTTGTATCCATCTAGAATTGAGTATTCCATATGAAACAGATTTTGAATGATAAAAATACATCTGTTTTTATATGTAAACCCCAAAGGGGCCATCATTGGCATGAATGTTCCTATGATGGACCACTATAAGAGAAAAATGCTTTTAAATGACACTTTAACATTTTTGGTGGAAATAATGATAGCTAACATCGAAGAACAACTGATAAGGAGTCGATAAGTAACTGGATAGTATCAAACGAATTCGTAATAATTAGTAATGCATGAGGCAACTTTCTTTGGGGTACCATCATCGGCACATTTTCCATACAGATAGTGAAACGCTAACAGATACTGCGCATGGACCGGCCCGTTTGCCGATTATCTGGTGAAATCGCATTATCATTATTGTGAGAAATTGTGAAAACACCATTGAAAATTCACTCAAAAATTCCACTCAGTAGATTAACTCACTACCAAATATGCAGTCACTCAGAAGAATTTCTTACAGTATAGGTGCACTCAGGCGCGGCTCTCCGTCATCAGCCGACAGGTTCACCCGATTCGGGCTGTCTATACCGCGGAACTTTGGTCGGCACGGGATGAACGACGCGATTCGATCACTTGTCTCTGTGATATACCGGGCACTTTTTCACCGTCACTGGCACGAGGGTGTGCTCATTGGCTCGAACGGCGTAGACATGTGTGTGTTGCTGGAGTTCGGTGAGTTCACTGAACATCGCAGCTAGCAAGATGTGTAGAGGGCGTTGGGCTTTCCCCTGCTCTGCGGTCGGTTGTATGGGATTGGTGGATTCGGGCTCCGCCCAGCCGAGTTTTCCCGCCCAAAGTGCTGAATATCATTATTGAGGAATGGGGTGATGTCGATATTCGTTGAGGTTATTTATTGTTTTCGATTTTGCGATGCGCTTTTGGTGTAGTTGAATTCCGATATTTTATTAGTTTCGGATGGATTGATAGTCGTTTCTTGATTTATGAGACAGTTCATATTCGGGTTTATTAGAAGTGTTCCATGAGGAGAAACCTAATTTTTGATCGGCGGGAGGGTATTTCACGGGAGCACTAGGAGGACCAAAATGTGTTTTTTTCATCTTGCAGATCTTCTTGCTTATTAGGCTAGATCATATATGACAATTTATGTGAAGTTATCCACGATTTTCCAGCCACGCTTTATGACGTGTAGACTGTCGATATTGGGATGGAGGATATTTCGCATGCAACGTTGCCAAACTTCCCAGCCACGCTTTTCAGCCATGAATTTCCCCACCACAGTTATTTAAATTTATATTTCAGCAGTATTTTCCCTGTTACGTTTCCCCGATAGACTATGAAGTGCTACAACCATTTTAAGAGCAGTGGAAAATTGATCACTTTAGTTATAGGTCTTTATTTTTTATTATTTATTTGAAATTTCCAGAATTACTCTTTTTCCCAATAACTTTGTTAATAATCGATGTGCGTTCATGAATCTTTCGCCAAAATATCTAGAATAACTTAATTTACCTATCTAGAAACTGAAATGAATTTGAGGTGCCGTAGGAGAATTTATAAAAAATATGTCATTTTTTATACTTTTTTCCCAATAACTTTGTTAATAATCGATGTGCGTTCATGAATCTTTCGCCGAAATATCTAGAATAACTCAATATACGTGTCTAGAAACTCAAATGAATTTGAGGTGCCGTAGGAGAATTTATAAAAAATATAATCTGTCATTTTTTATACATTTTTCGGAATAACTTTGTTAATAATCGATGTGCGTTCATGAATCTTTCGCCAAAATATCTAGAATAACTTAATATACATATCTAGGAACTGAAATGAATTTGAGGTGCCGTAGGAGAATTTATAAAAAATCAAATCTGTCATTTTTTATACTTTTTTCCCAATAACTTTGTTAATAATCGATGTGCGTTCATGAATCTTTCGCCAAAATATCAAGAATAACTCAATATACGTATCTAAGAACTCAAATGAATTTGAGGTGCCGTAGGAGAATTTATAAAAAATGAAATCTGTCATTTTTCATACTTTTTTCCCAGTAACTTTGTTAATAATCGATGTGCGTTCATCAATCTTTCGCCAAAATATCTAGAATAACTCAATATACGTATCTGAAAACTCAAATGAATTTGAGGTGCCGTAGGAGAATTTATAAAAAATCAAATCTGTCATTTTTTATACTTTTTTCCCAATAACTTTGTTAATAATCGATGTGCGTTCATCAATCTTTCGCCAAAATATCTAAAATAACTCAATATACGTATCTAGAAACTCAAATGAATTTGAGGTGCCGTAGGAGAATTTATAAAAAATGAAATCTGTCATTTTTCATACTTTTTTCCCAGTAACTTTGTTAATAATCGATGTGCGTTCATCAATCTTTCGCCAAAATATCTAGAATAACTCAATATACGTACCTAAAAACTCAAATGAATTTGAGGTGCCGTAGGAGAATTTGTAAAAAATCAAATCTGTCATTTTTTATACTTTTTTCTCAATAACTTTGTTAATAATCGATGTGCGTTCATGAATCTTTCGCCAAAATATCTAGAATAACTCAATATACGTATCTAAAAACTCAAATGAATTTGAGGTGCCGTAGGAGAATTTATAAAAAATCAAATCTGTCATTTTTCATACTTTTTTCCCAGTAACTTTGTTAATAATCGATGTGCGTTCATCAATCTTTCGCCAAAATATCTAGAATAACTCAATATACGTATCTAAAAACTCAAATGAATTTGAGGTGCCGTAGGAGAATTTATAAAAAATGAAATCTGTCATTTTTCATACTTTTTTCCCAGTAACTTTGTTAATAATCGATGTGCGTTCATGAATCTTTCGCCAAAATATCTAGAATAACTCAATATACGTATCTAAAAACTCAAATGAATTTGAGGTGCCGTAGGAGAATTTATAAAAAATCAAATCTGTCATTTTTTATACTTTTTTCCCAATAACTTTGTTAATAATCGATGTGCGTTCATCAATCTTTCGCCAAAATATCTAGAATAACTTAATATACATATCTAGAAACTGAAATGAATTTGAGGTGCCGTAGGAGAATTTATAAAAAATATAATCTGTCATTTTTTATACTTTTTTTCCAATAACTTTGTTAATAATCGATGTGCGTTCATCAATCTTTCGCCAAAATATCTAGAATAACTCAATATACGTACCTAAAAACTCAAATGAATTTGAGTTATTCTAGATATTTTGGCGAAAGATTGATGAACGCACATCGATTATTAACATAGTTATTGGGAAAAAAGTATAAAAAATGACAGATTTGACTTTTTATAAATTCTCCTACGGCACCTCAAATTCATTTGAGTTTCTAGATAAGTATATTGAGTTATTTTAGATATTTTGGCGAAAGATTGATGAACGCACATCGATTATTAACAAAGTTATTGGGAAAAAAGTATAAAAAATGACAGATTTGATTTTTTATAAATTCTCCTACGGCACCTCAAATTCATTTGAGTTTTTAGATACGTATATTGAGTTATTCTAGATATTTTGGCGAAAGATTCATGAACGCACATCGATTATTAACAAAGTTATTGAGAAAAAAGTATGAAAAATGACAGATTTCATTTTTTATAAATTCTCCTACGGCACCTCAAATTCATTTGAGTTTCTAGATACGTATATTGAGTTATTCTAGATATTTTGGCGAAAGATTGATGAACGCACATCGATTATTAACAAAGTTATTGGGAAAAAAGTATAAAAAATGACAGATTTGATTTTTTATAAATTCTCCTACGGCACCTCAAATTCATTTGAGTTTTTAGATACGTATATTGAGTTATTCTAGATATTTTGGCGAAAGATTGATGAACGCACATCGATTATTAACAAAGTTACTGGGAAAAAAGTATGAAAAATGACAGATTTCATTTTTTATAAATTCTCCTACGGCACCTCAAATTCATTTGAGTTTTTAGATACGTATATTGAGTTATTCTAGATATTTTGGCGAAAGATTCATGAACGCACATCGATTATTAACAAAGTTACTGGGAAAAAAGTATGAAAAATGACAGATTTCATTTTTTATAAATTCTCCTACGGCACCTCAAATTCATTTGAGTTTTTAGATACGTATATTGAGTTATTCTAGATATTTTGGCGAAAGATTGATGAACGCACATCGATTATTAACAAAGTTATTGGGAAAAAAGTATAAAAAATGACAGATTTGATTTTTTATAAATTCTCCTACGGCACCTCAAATTCATTTGAGTTTTTAGATACGTATATTGAGTTATTCTAGATATTTTGGCGAAAGATTGATGAACGCACATCGATTATTAACAAAGTTACTGGGAAAAAAGTATGAAAAATGACAGATTTCATTTTTTATAAATTCTCCTACGGCACCTCAAATTCATTTGAGTTTTTAGATACGTATATTGAGTTATTCTTGATATTTTGGCGAAAGATTCATGAACGCACATCGATTATTAACAAAGTTACTGGGGAAAAAGTATGAAAAATGACAGATTTCATTTTTTATAAATTCTCCTACGGCACCTCAAATTCATTTGAGTTTTTAGATACGTATATTGAGTTATTCTAGATATTTTGGCGAAAGATTCATGAACGCACATCGATTATTAACAAAGTTATTGGGAAAAAAGTATAAAAAATGACAGATTTGATTTTTTATAAATTCTCCTACGGCACCTCAAATTCATTTCAGTTCCTAGATATGTATATTAAGTTATTCTAGATATTTTGGCGAAAGATTCATGAACGCACATCGATTATTAACAAAGTTATTGGGAAAAAGAGTAATTCTGGAAATTTCAAATAAATAATAAAAAATAAAGACCTATAACTAAAGTGATCAATTTTCCACTGCTCTTAAAATGGTTGTAGCACTTCATAGTCTATCGGGGAAACGTAACAGGGAAAATACTGCTGAAATATAAATTTAAATGACTGTGGTGGGGAAATTCATGGCTGAAAAGCGTGGCTGGGAAGTTTGGCAACGTTGCATGCGAAATATCCTCCATCCCAATATCGACAGTCTACACGTCATAAAGCGTGGCTGGAAAATCGTGGATAACTTCACACAAATCATATGACAATGTTTGGTCCCACCATTCCCACCAAGACCAAGACCACAATATCTGCTCGATATTACCATCAACAATACTCTCTTATGGGAAAATCATGTTCGATCCATCGCAATAGCGGTTTCACAAAAACTCGGATTCTTGTTTCATGCGAAAATCTACTTCACAAATCAGCAGCTTCTCATGTTTTACAAAGCACAGATATATACGGCCAGATTTAGAATACTTCCCTCATGTATGGGGTTCAGCACCCAAACATACGATGATGCTTTTAGGTTCTATCCAGAGAAAAGCTATTTGCCTGGTGGATGATGCCACACTCACTAACTCTTCGACCTCATTATATTTCCGTATAAAAGTCTACGACCTTTATTTACTTCCCTATAGATACTTCTACGGGATATCTTCCTCAGACACCTGATGTGCTATGATTCCATCACAAGCAATACCTGTCAGACGAACTCGACAGGCCTAGTCAGAAAATCCTTTCGTCGTTAACCTTGAAATATATCGAACAACACTCTACCAAAACTCTTTCATCTATAGAACGGCGAAGCTTTGAAACTCTTTGCCAATGGAAGTATATCCATGAACTTAAACCTACAAAAGTCAATAAAATTTCAACACCTACCACTTTCTCTCCCTATCCTCCCTAGGTACATATACGTTTGATGTTGCATTATAGGAATTTCCTTTCGTGCGCCCCAAGGGATAGAAAAAGGTTATCTTGCTCA